ATGGTTATCGTCATGATTTTTTTGTGATAAGTTATAATATTTATTTATTATATTAATAGCAGTTTTATGAATTAATTTGTTTTGATAGGTAGTATTTTTGTGATTATTATTATTATTTATTATTATGTTTTATGAATGTAAATGTCTAAAAATGTATTATTTTATGTGTTTATGAGCATATTATATAAGTCCATATTTTAATCGTTTAACTCTGCTTATTACAAGTTATATTCAACAAATATTAATTTGAAATGTTTGATTATTTTACTTAGGCTTGTAGAGGATGCACCAATCCATTTAAATGTGACTGTAAAGGAATTGTCGGAGAACCTGGTGACAAGGGTATTTTTGGACAACAAGGTTCAGAAGGACCTCCAGGAGAAACAGGTTTGATATTAAAATAATAGTTATATCTATAACTTAGTGTTTGGTATTTACGTAATAATATTTGTATCTTGTATTCAAAAATACATAACCAAGTCAATATTATAATAGGAAAATCATGTAAAAAATGAATACATATAATACGATAGGATACATTCCAATTTCCAGCACGAAGAAAAAATATTATATATTTATGTTACCAGGTAGTACTACACAATTGTATATAGGTTAATCAAAATATGATTATGGAAATTTTCAAGTATACTGTATAGGTACTTAAATACTTATTTTTTTTAATCTCTTTAAGGAGTATCTTGTGATGAAAATTACGATTATTCAGTTTTTAAGTGAGTTATGAGCATTTTTAATTTACTCTATATTATATACATAGAACTTGCTAAAAAGTTGAACTATCGTATAGAACCAACATGCGAGCATAGATAATGTTTTTACCATGAAGTTTCATAATAGGTCTAATTTTTAGTCTAACAGAGCTAATCGTGATCTGCTGATCGTAAATTTGGTATATACCTATGTTATGCACTTTTAAGACGGAGACAATACATTCGGGTGTAGCGTGCTCTTAATAAAGAAAAATATATAATTAATATTTAAAATTTAACTACCATAAATGTAATCGAATATATATACAGTGGCTTATAATCAATTTATGTTTCAATTTTAGGTCCGGATGGTCCACCTGGAACAAAAGGAGAAAAAGGATCTATTGGAGAATGGGGAGATCTCGGTTTAAAAGGATATCGAGTATATATACATATTATTATAAAAATAATATCAAATAAATCTTGAATCACATAATAAATTAGTCTTAAACTATTGAATATTTTTATTTTTTCTTAAAAATTAACATAGAAAGTTTAATTTATGTAAATGTATTTCAAAATATATAATTTTTTTTTATTTTCAAATCATAAAAATTATAATGAGCTAGTTAAATGTTGTTAAAATATTGTTAAATATAATATAATAATGTTGGTATTAATTTTAAAAGTTAAAATATATTCTAACAATTTTTCAGGGTGAAAATGGTTTAACTGGTTACCATGGAATTGACGGTGATAAAGTAAGGAACAATTTAGTATCTTGAATTTTCATTTTTTACGACGATAGTATTATACTTATATCATAATGCTCATATATACTTAAACTTAACTGTTCTAGGGATATGCGGGTGTAGCCGGGCCACCAGGACTGAAAGGTCTAGAGGGATGCAATGGAACAGATGGTAATGACGGACTTATGGGCGAAGACGGATATCCCGGTGAGCGAGGTCTCATAGGACTTGATGGTCTACAGGTGCATATTATTATTAGCTAATTCCTAATAGTTAAAATCTTATAAAAAAAAAATCTATAAAAGCTACTTAATCATTTAAAAACTGGGGAACTCACTCTGCTGTATAATATATCGTGTCAAGTGTATCTCATCATTGAGTGAGTTACTGTAGTAGATGAGTTAGTTATTTGTATTACTATTAAAATCGATGAATTATAATAATATTTTTACAGCCAAATTCCGTTTAAATATTATTTAATGATTAATTTCTAAAATAAATTTATAATTTTTACCGATTATAGTAGGTACAAATAAGTATGAATTTAAATTAATGTTAGGTATTTAAAAAATTGTCATTATGAAATATTAATTTATTTTATTAGGTACCTACATTACATTATACTGTTTAATAGCTGGGCTCAGGCTCAAAAACCTATGTACTATCATAGAATCGTGTTTATATAATATATTATATATTATAGTGACGGACACTGATTGTATTCGTGTTTGTTTCATTCATTATTTTCTAGGGACTACGAGGAGATCCAGGCGATGGAGGGGCAAATAGTAAAGGCCTGAAGGGCGAAAGAGGTGAATCAAGTTCACCAGGAGCAAAAGTAAGTCGATTAAAATTTGTATTATAGCATAGCTATACCTAAATAATTAATATGGGAAATGTGCAGAGATGTATTAATTATTCGTAGTCAAGTCAACGATAATAATATATATTAATCAATATAGTTATAGATTTATGATTTATGAGAAATTATTCATTAGGAGGTATCCGTGAACAATATTAGATATAATATATAAAATCCCTGACGAAAAATTTGATGGGTGGGTGGTTTGGTGGGTACTGTACTACCGTATGCAGGACCGTCGGCAGTTGTCAATCGTTACTGAATAACTTTTTGGGTTTAACTACATTTCAGTATCGGTAATACAGAGATTGGTTGGCTGTAAAATTATGTTACTGAACCATGAATAAAAATTCTATGCGTGGCTACTGAATCCACAATACAGATTGTAACATGAAGACCTGACAAATGACATAACTTTTGTTCTAACAATCATTTAACATTTGTTTATATTTATAAATTATTTAGCTCATGCTCTACACGCATACACGTATAATATAGGTACCTAACATTTTTTTTTTTTAATATTGAAAATAATTTTAATCTGATACATTTGTAGGTAAATCCGATTTTTCTAGAAAACTTTTGACTCTAGAAACATTCATCTAAGCTAAGATACTTGATTTTTTATAATTTTCCAAAGTATAACATTTTTTTGAAGACTCATTCATTTGAAAATTATAACATTTCAAAAAAAATCTAGATTTTAACACGTACTTACCTATTTAAAAATTCTCATAAAATATTAAAAAAAGTTAATACATTAACTTAAAAAGTTAAAATGTTTTTTTACGACTGAATCATTTTCAGTTAACAAAATTAATGAGATTTCAAAAAAAAATTTTAGATAAACTACATAGATAACTAAAAAATTTTTTTTTTTTAAATTCGGATTTACAAATTGGCTATTTTGAATTTTTCAAAAAAAAATGTATACCTATGCTATGACCTAGCTACCTATTAGATTAAAACAATTTTAATTTCAGTATAAAGAAAATAAAATAAAAATATTTTGTCTTAAAATATATTTGTCAGGTCTTGATGTTACATCCTGTATACTGTAATATTGATCGACTTCAAGAAGTTAAAAATATGTGCATTATGAACACTAAATAAACTTTCATTATTTCAGTAATTGTATTTAGTTTTTAATAAAAATAAAATAAAATACAATAATTGTTGTTGATTATTTTGAAACGTGTATTTTATCGAATTTATATTTTGATACATTTCTCTATTTTTAGGGTGAACCAGGATATCCTGGAATCGAAGGTGTGCAAGGTGATATTGGTGTGCCCGGAGTACAAGTTAGTAAAATATATTGTGTTGGGTATTAAACGTCTATTTCAGTTTTTCATTTTACATAAGTTTTTGTTATATTATGATTGGTATAAACTATTAATAAGTTAATTAGGGGAAGTAAGGTTCATTTTAGCTTTTTAAAACCAAGGAGTCATAATGGAGAAAGTTTTTGTTCTTAAGTAACTTATGCCAATGGCCCAATATAAACAGTTTATTTTATAATTATTTAGGATTTGATCTTGTATTGCATTCTAATTAAGTTTAGGTGATAGGTACACTTAAAGCTAGATAAAACTTATACCTTTTGATGTGAATGCCTGATGTGGATTTGGGACTTATATTTTTCACCCATGGGTCATTCAAAAGTCATATGTACCATTCTAGTCAATAATGAAAAAAAAAAATTTAACTTTAAATTACGAGTTAATTATTTATACAATTGAACTTGCGACTTATGTGAGTTTTTGAAAAATGACTAGGTAGGTAGGTACCAATATTAATTTTGAACATTTTACATTTTACATTTTTATGTTAACTTATACTGAAAGATTCATTTGGTTATTGTTAAGTATTCAAAATTCAGATTATAAATAAAATAAATATTATATTGTTTAATCTTTTTGATACATAGTTAAATGTTACCGTTAATCAAAGCAAATTTTTAAAAAAGTTTAAAAAAATAAATTTATTTCATTATGTAAGATTTTATTTACATTAATCATATTGGTCAGGTTAGGTTACGGACAGGTTATATTTAAAATGTAGATATTAACTTTAAAGGTTGTAAAGGAATATTTTTTAGTTCAACCATAAATAACCTGAATGCTAATATTACAATTGTATTGTATTATTATGATATTTAAAAATTAATTAATAATTAAGAAGGTTTTAAAGTAGCTTCTTAAATTATTGTTATATGTTGTTGTTCTTATTTTATTTCTTTTAACTGAAACATACCATAAAATTATATTTTAAAATAAATATTATAGTTTTAAATGTTTTAATGAGGTTTAAAATGAAACTACTCACATTTTTACAGGGACCTACTGGTGATCCTGGATATAATGGACTGAAGGGTGATAAAGGTGACTCCCAGCCAGGATCTAAAGGTGAGCTGACATTAAATATTTAATTTATACAACTACCTATACCTGTTATAAAACATAACATAGGTAATATTATAATTGAATATCATATAATTATACCTAATATATAATAATTAAGACTTATATTATAGTCACTAGGTATAACGGGTTATTCTTTTATCATTGAACAATCCTTACCTATTTAAAAAAATTTACATGGTTTCTAGTTGTTAAAAAGAACATTTTTAAATTAGGTAGGTATATATAATAATAATACCTACCTACCTACCTAATATATAATATTTTTTATCCTCAACATTTTTAAAGTTTTTACTTTTTTGAATAACAATTGACAAAATACAGTTTTAATTTCATATTCCAAAAGAGAATATATTTTGAGAAGTATTTTGATATATAAAAATCGAATTTAAAACGAGTAGTCAGTAGTTACTTTATAACTCTTTTATGACTAAAAGTATAGTTTTGATAAGTACAATGGATTGTTCTTTGGTTATTTAGAATAGTGTTAATACCTATTAAATGAATTAATATTAATTAATGCTATTAGGGGTAACGGCCCGGATACAGGCCATATAAATAATAATAATAATAATAATAATAATCAATTCTAATGTCCGTATGCATTAAATAATTAATATTTCTACCAAACCAATATAATTTTTAAATAAATGGATTTTAAATTATTTCGTTTTGCATTATTTTTTATTTAATGATGTTCTATAAATTGTGTTTTGCGTTATGTTTTGTTTAATGATATATAATATATTATTTTGTTAATCGTTATTTTTTGTTTTAAAGTACCTACCTATATTTAATTGTTTTTGGTTATCGCTTTCTGTTACGATAATGTTTACAAATTTGAATCGTTTTTTTATCAAATATAAGTTATAACATTACCTATAATCATAACGTAATAATTATTATAACGTTGGCAATATATTTTGAAAATATTTTAAAATTAGCAGGTACGTAACTTCTTTAAAAAAAAAGCGTTCAGTGAAACTACACTTCAGCTTTTTAAAGGTTTAAGGGATTTTATTTAAATTAATTTAAAACAACTTACTAAAGGGTTCTCACACTAACCTAACCTAATTACTGTGCTACACATCAATTATTTGGATCTGTGATGTGAAATCGTGAAATCGATAAGAAAATAACCTATCGATTTAACCAATAAAATAATGATTAATATTATAATTATTGACTATTGTAGTTATTGTTTGGTGGCCACTGGCCATGGACACTGTAATGGTTAAAAAAAAAGGTTATATCCAGGTTTAAAACATATAATATAGGTACCTAATATGTTAAAAAAATTATCTAAATATTTCACTAAGTGTAAGGATTTCTCCTGAGCTACAAGTTTTTAATTTTTGTACTAAAGACCAGTGGTGTATTGACATCCATGAAGTTGATCCTCCGAGGCTTTTTTTATTATTATTTTAAATAGTATTAAAAGAAAGATTCAATAAGTTAATGTGTTGATTTTTCGTAATAAATCGCAATCGTATCAATATCGCTAGGAAATATGTGGTTTTTCACACTGATTGTTGTATTTTATGTTCTTCTTCGAATTATTTGTCATGATGGAATAATAATAATAAGCCCCATAAGCAGCCAGTTAAAAAAAATGCACATGAATAATACACCTTACTACCTTAGGTTTAATTTTTAGAAAATTTCTTATTTCTTATAAGTATATAATAAGTCATAACATTTGTTATTGATTATAATTTATAATTTATAGCCATCTTATGGGTAGAATGGTAAATATTGTTTAGCCGTGTGTGTCTGTCGTCAACGTATATAACTAAAATTTTTATCAGTGTTAATATTAAGAGGACGTCACAGACCACAGTGACAGTGTCACAAGTTGTCACTTGTCTCCGTGTTACAAAATATGTGCAATGAGACAATTTTAATCCCTCTGTATTTATAGTAGAATTAGGCACCAAAACTTCACAACGCATAGGGAAGAACTTTATCTTTGTCGTAGTGTTTTTATTATTTGGATAACATAAATAAATTTAAAGTTATCAGTTTGAGAACATTAGATTTTTGTTTGTTTTCTTCATTTAATTATTGAAAATTATGCTAGATTAGTGCTAGGTATCAAATAAAATTAAAACCCTAGCTATGAAACAGATAAAGTTCTTCCCTATGCTTTGTGGAATTTTGGTAATTGTACTATAAATACAGAGGGAGTAAAGTTGTCCCGCGCAAAACAGTTTTTGCTATGTTGTACATTTGTAAGACGGAGACAACCACAGACTTCTATAATACTACACTAGAGAAAGAAGTTATACAATTTGCATTGTTACAAGTGAAGCTCAGCTGTGGACGGCAGCCATTTTGTCGGTTTGCAAGACATTTAATTTATTATACAAAATGTATTAGGAATAATATCGTTTTTAATGGTAAAATAAAATAGTAAATTACCTAGTAAATGTAAAATGATTTATATAAAATATTTTTATTTTTTTTTTAAACTACAGGTTTAGAAATAATAAAATACCTACAATAAAAAATAAAAATAAAATAAATCATAATTAATCTTATTGACCATATAAAATACCATACAATTGCTCCTATGATATTCACGAACGGAGTTCGCTATCTGATTGGTACTATATGGATATCCAATCCGTGACCTAAATTGAAATCACGGATACCTAATGTATAATTTTGTCGGTTAATATATTTTGGAGGTAAGATTTTAAATTATGACCTCCAACGGATTGCAGTGTTTTCATCCGTTTCCAATGATAACAGTTCGAAATAATGATAAAAATCGGTTTTTGATAACGTGAAGTAAATGTTACAATATTATTTATCTTTTAGTTTATAAATTATAATTACCTATTCTAATGTTAATAATTAATTCGTAAGTAATATTATGTATAATAAAATTGTATAAAATAGTATAATATACCCTAACTCGGTAACTTAACTATAAACGGTTAATGGTTATATGCTGGTTAAATTTATACAATATACTTGTCATTGGTGAATTTTAAATATTAGGTATCTAATGTCATTGCTTTCTATATAACCCATGTGCTATAGGCACCTTCTATTTTTGTCTATTATTCACAATATTGTTTCATTGACATAAAATTAATTTGGTAACTTTTCTTCCTCATTTTCTACATTTCACTGTATTTATTCCATAGGTAATATTTTTTACTGTTTTAGCAATGTGAATTTTGAACACATTGTATCTAGTAGAGAAAATAACAGTTATATTATTGCCATTATGAGACTTAGAGACTCAGTAACGTTTTTTTAAACCAATCAGGGGGGTATCCTATGTTTACTTTACTTGTTAGTTGTTGATATTAATAACTTTTAAATAAAATGAAAAATCCATATGGGGCACTAGGAAAATTGTACAGTTTATTTCAAAAATTTTTTGTATCATAAACTATAGGTTTATTTTTGTTTTCAGGTATTATTGGAGAAGATGGAGATCGCGGAGAAGAAGGTCTCCCAAGTAATGTAACTGACCCTGAAAATAGGGATGATAGTGAGGATATTATTGTGTACAAAGGACTTCCAGGAGATCGTGGTCCTAGAGGAGATAACGGAAGACCTGGGTATAAAGGTGAAACTGGCACTAAAGGTCTTATGGTTAGTAAACCGCTGAACCTAATAATTTTTTATTGATAACATCATTTATGTAGAATTAAAAATATAATTATTTATTATATTTAAATACATGGTTTAAAAGTTAAAACTACATAATAGTAGGCAATAATGTATAAATTAACTTTACATATTATATTATATTTGTGTACGTAATACAACTTAATAAAACAACAATCTAACATATTATATTTTTAATTAAAGGGTCGTCCTGGATATGATGGATTTAAAGGAGTAAAAGGTAATTTGTATAATATTTATATGTGTATATGCAATATACATTATATCAATGGTTCATTATTATAATAATATGATAATATTTTATTTATATCTTAAAACGTATTGGATGAATTAATGGTTGTATATATCTGATAATGGAAAACATAATATAACATTAGTTAGGTATTTATGTAAGATATGCGGTAGCAAGTGAAAGTAGGCACATGTAATTGGGAAGTGTTCAACAAGAAGGCAATCTTCAGCCTCTTAACTCAATACTGTGTTATAACCTACAGTATAGGTATACCAATGTATAAAAAATTTCTAAAAAAAATAATAAATACTTTAATAAATACTTACATAACACTCAATAATAGTTTCCATTTTAAGAAAATTTTAAAAGAAATATAAGTTATGGTGTGATAATAGAATTGTTGTTCTGTGATTGTTTAGACAACACTATTAATTTGATGTAACAACAATATTGTAATATTGAAAAACTGAACCATATTTACATGTTAAAACAGTTCAATTATCACGGATCCAGCCTACATTAACGGGAGAGGCGGATTATAAATATCTAAATATACGTAATATTTACCTACTGGTAAATACGAGTATATATTATTTATATATATATTATAAATATGCAACAATTGCTGAATGCTTATTAATTATAATGAACATTTTAAACATATTAAATAGAGTTATGTTAAAATTAAAGCAATACAATAAAAAACTATCGTATTCTAAAATAATAAAATTCTGTGTATATTTTAGGTGCACAAGGTAATGTAGGTCAAAGAGGAAAAGATGGAAATGTTGGTATATTTGGTGAAAGTGGCATAAAAGGTAATATAAAAAAACCAATCTATCTTAACAAGTTAACGAAGTATATCGTGGCAATTATGTGTAGGCGATAAAGGAGCTCCAGGATACTCAGGACTAGCAGGGGAAGATGGAGATAAGGTAAGTGCAGTTACAATATTTTATGAAATTATTATTTATCACATTTTTGATTATACTACAAAAATACATTATTATCATACATTTGTTATTGATGTATAATTAAATAAAATCAATACCCAAATCCACTCATTAATTTATTTGTAATAAAGGGTGGAAATGGTGAACCTGGACGTTTAGGGATTCCAGGAGTACAGGGTAGTGAAGGTGAACCAGGCATATATGATCCAAATTTGGATGAAATTAGGAATGGTTCTGAAGGACCTCAAGGACCTATTGGTAAGTTATACTACTTATTTTACATAATTATAATAGGTAAATAATACAATATTTTGTGTTTGGTTATTTTTCCTCTTTTATATAGTTTATAATTTTAAGTTCTGATTTCTGAATAGAATATGTGGACTGTATAGATAGGTACATAATGAATAATTAGAATGTATTATAGGTCAGTAGATAATTATTTTATTTTGTAGAACATATGAATATTATATTACATAGTAAGTGATAAATTATGATGTTACATAATATAATCCTTCCATAAATAAAATTACTTAATTTTAAATTTGGTTTGATTATATTATATTTATTTAAAAATCTTACAATACTTTAATAATCCAATGTAACTGTTTAGGTCCTGAGGGTCCTAGAGGAGAAGATGGATTACCTGGAAGGGTTAGTTATAATTTTAATAACTAAATATTTTTGATAATTTATAATTTATAGTATTAAACAATTTCAGATTGGTCAACCAGGAATTTTGGGACCACCTGGTGAACCGGGGCCCCCAGGTAATTATCTAGAAAATAATTCGTAACATTAAATATACTGACAAACTAGTTATGAATTATCTATTATAATGTATAGGTATTCCTGGAGCAAGGGGGCCAAAAGGATTATCTATGAAAGGAGAACAAGGAATTGAAGGTATGATAAGTATAAAATATTGTATATAAAGATATATAGTTATTGATTAAATTTGGCTTATGAGATCCCTTTAGCTAATTAGGTCTAGTAAAAATAGGAATAAAGCTTTAAGAGCTAAATAAAAAGTCAATGTGTACATGATAGAATATTAGACAAGTATGAAATCAGTAACATTTTTTTTTTGTTCTTAACATCACATTTTTTACCATTACAAATAAATATTATATTTTATCCAACTATAGTCATACTTATGCATTAATTATTAAATAATTATAGTACAAAATAAAAGAAGATTTATCTATACATCACATATGCATACATTGAGATAACCAAGTAGTTTTAAGATTTACCAATTCTTATCAACGATCAAACTTTATTTAAATAAATATTTGAATTCTTAAAAACAGAAATCTATTACAACTATCATTACCTATATAATAATTGATTTCTATGTTGAATAGTATATTGTATGACAAGGGCGGGAAGTGAGCTATCTCAGTCACGGGCGACAAATGTTTATTTATTTATAATATTTATACGAACTAAGTCCAATTTACAATATATAATAACAATAACATGTTAACTAATTAATATTAAAATATATTTATTTAATATGTATAAAAACATTAGTAACTACTTCCTATATTCTATTCATATAAAACTTTCTGTGTAGATCAATAAAATATAATTCATTGAATTCAATTTTATTCTAATCTACAGCGCAAGTAGATATGTGATTCAAACCATTGAAAACTGAATTTTGATAATTTAAAATTAAATATTTTTACATATTTATATATCCTTTAGACTCAAAAAAAAAATTGAAATGGTAGGGAATGGATTATATTATAGGAATTACTTATCATTTCATTTCATCGAAATAATTTTAACAAAATTACATAACACGTTACAAAGTAATTTCATGACAGTAACCTGTTACTTTGTTTCGTTTCCCAACAATATTAATTTTTTAATTTGTTTACAAAAAATAAATACTAGCTAGTAAATAATTACCAATATTTAACTAAATATTATTTTTAGAATTTTAAATATTTCTCAAAATGTCCCAAAATGAAATCTTTAAAAAAACGAATTTTTGAAATCCACATTTTATAAGTAAAAAGTAGGTTAAATAATACTATATACCAATGGGTATATATTTATGTTGATACAATTTTAATTTGTTAATAAAGGGTTGGCTGGACCAAGAGGAGAACAAGGACCTCTAGGAGTTCCTGGACCTATTGGCCCAATTGGCGAAAAAGGAATTCAGGGCATAACTGTGTTTGGACCGCCTGGTGAAGATGGTCGCTTAGGTGAATATTATAATTTATTATGAGTACATACGAAAATATTGTTATATTATTGAAATATCAGTAGTTTTAATGAAGAACAAATTTATAACAAACTGTACCTACTTATTTTGTATGATATTAATTAATATACTACATTTTTTTTTAGGTCGTGATGGTTCTGAAGGTCCTAAAGGAGACCAGGGTGATCAAGGATATAAAGGTTTGAAAAATTGTGCATTGCATATATGTTTTGTTTAAGTAAACTTAAAACTCAAACAGCATCTAATTAATTTAAGGCGCCCAGTGCCGATGTCATTTTGTCCTCAAAAATGTACTCTGCGGGAATAACGATACCGCCTTGTAGAATTAACCAAATTTCATAATTTTTTTTTTAATTGCTAAAGGAAATATTCTACAGCCCGCATCGATCTCTGTTTTTCAATATTTTATTCTCAAACTTTATAATATGTCTAAACAAATACAAGATAAAAAGCATTTTTTTTAAAAAATTTTTTACACAATTATTTGAAATAAAATACAAAATCAGAGATCGATGTGGGCTGTAGATAAATCTGCTTTCAGATAATAAAATAGTCATCAAAATCCAACAATTCTACAAAGATTGAGAGTTATTCCTGTAAAGTTTTTTTTTTCGATATTATACACCCTATCACCTCTCCCCCCCCCCCCTAAATATTTATCGGGTAGTAGATTAGTGGAAAAGTCTTATAATTGAGGTGCAACTAAAATAGAAAATTTTATAGAATTGTGGAAAATTTGAAAAACTGGCACCTGGACCCTTAATGTATACACTTATTGAACAATATATATACTCGACTTATAGTAATTCAACATTTTGTATGATATACCTAATACAGTTAACTATTTTTGTGTAATAATTTTTTATTTAATTAGTTATTTTTAAATTCTTTATAAGACAAATTAACAGGCTAGTTAGGCTTAATTAGGCTAGTATTGTTTGAGTAAAATATTTTAATTTTAGTTAGTAGAGAGAGAGAGAGAGTATGAAAATATAATTGTGTTTTAAGATTACTCATTCTATTTTCAGGACCAAAAGGTTTCCCTGCAACACGACCGGGAGAACGAATTGTTGGTCCACGTGGAGCTCCTGGTATCCCAGGATTTTCTGGTATACCTGGAGTGCCTGGATTTCCTGGTAAGAATTCATTAAAACTTATTATATTATGTTAGTTTTACTATTTTCTAATTATATATCAATAATTAATATAAAAACACCATACCAAAACATTTGTTTACAGGACTTCCTGGTAGAAATGGATCAAAAGGACTTCGGGGAGATGATTGTGGCTACTGCAATCCAGGTTAAATACTACTATTATCTGTTTAATTATTATTAAACATCTCGTATTGTATAATTTCAATGTCTTGATTTATAATTGTTTACTGGAGTCTTAAGGTATTGTAATTATTATTAGATATAGCTTTTACTCTAAAAAAAATTCAAATTTCAAATAAATAAATTACAATTGTTACATAACATGTTATCGTCGCCTGGCGTGAAAAACCTCCTATGTGCAAAAAATCGCAAAATGACATTTTTACATTTCTGAATTCAGAAAAAAATACGCTATCTAGTGATAAATATTTCAAACTTATTGGTGTTATCAAAACATTTTTATTCTTCAAAACAATGAACCTCCTATGTTAGCTGTATTGAAATTGTTATCTGATATACCTCCCATGTGCATACATCGGAGGTTTGTCACACTGTTGGTTTGTATGAATTTCGCACATCGGAGCTATATCAGCTGGTGTTGAATAGGAGGGAAACGGAAAATAATCTTTATTATCACTTTTGTCTTTTCATATTATTATTTTTCATTTTGAATTTTTGATGGAGCCAGGAAATCGGAATCTTCAACAATAACGTAAGTGTAATTAAATTTAAAATTAAGCGAGGGGTAAATACCTGACAGAAGTTTTGTACACCAGATTACTAATTTCAATGATTATACCTATGATTACCCATGATTTACTTCAAAGATTACCTATGGTTACCATCACCTTGTACACTGATTACCCCCAAGGTGTTTACCCCTCGAAATTAAGCTTATTGTTATAATACAATTTTATAATACTAAAAATATTTAAACCTATTGGCTAATTTGGTCTTATCATAATATTCTATTTATTTTTTAATTGCATTCTATATAAATTTAAATTTCTAATTTTCCTATACATCTTCATTTTAGAAAATGAATCGTGCAAGAAAACTGGTTGAAATGGTTGTCCCTGACTTTGATAAAGTTACAACCTTAAAGGAAATATGTGAGGAAGATTTAAAGCTTTTAGAATCAGTTAATAGCATTAATGAGCATGAGCACTGGGCTGTTGATGAAAATGGAAAGGAAGTTGACCTAAATGTATATTATGATAATCCTATGCCAATAACCACCATAAATAATTTTAACAATTTTGATAATTATGATTTTATTATTACTGATAATATTAATACTTATGACAATATTGATGATGACACTGAACAAAATGGTAATGTAGATGATCCAATAAATGAAATTATTAGTAATGTGGACTGTGATGTTCTTAGTGAATGTATGTCTGAAAATTCTATAAAAATTGGTAGAACAAATAAGGAAAAAGCTTCTATAAAAAGAGTTGCAGGAGACCCATATATGGGTTCAAAAGTTAATAATGGTAAATGCACACAGTCTTGTCCAAAGCCTGGAAGATTTTTGAAAGATTGTTGTGCTCATAATCACAAAAAAAATAAATTAGGATCCAAAGGTTTTTTTTGTGGAATGTTCACCGAAGTAGATCGAAAAATAATTTTTAGAAAATTTTGGAAGCTTGGATCTTGGAAAGAAAAAAAAGCGTACATAAATGGTTTAGTTGTAACTAGAACTGTAGTTCGTAGAAGGAAATCAACTAAAATTAACAAAGATACCACAGCAAAGAAAAATTATGCACGAGATATTTATTTATCTTTAAGTGATGGTCAGAAATACAAGGTATGTCGTACATTTTTCTTGAACACACTGTGCATTGGTGAAGATACATTTAAAAGATGGACCAAACATGATATTGAGACAACCTCTAAGAGTTCTGAAACTATAATGGACAATAATAATAGTATTTTGATGTGTGAATCTACTTCTACTCAGAAAATATCTCCCAGAAAAAATAAAAAAATTCAAGATACAGAATTAGTTGTAACATGGTTAAATATGTTACCTAAGGTACCGAGTCACTATTGTAGAAAATCTTCAAACAGAATTTATGTTGAGTCCACATTTTTATCTGTATCTGAAATGTTTAAGGAATTTTCTAGATGGGTCAAAGAAGAGTTGTCAAAAGAAGTACCTCGAGATACACTTTTTCGCAGAGTATTAAAAAATGAAAATATATACATACACAAACCAAGAAAGGACCAGTGTGATATTTGTACCGGACATAAAACAAAAATTGATGCAGTTGATGAAATTACTTACCAAAATCATATACAAAGAAAAGATAACGCCAGAACAGAGAAAAATAAAAAAAAGGTTGAGGCATCTGATAAAAACATTGTTGTAACTATGGACTTGGAAAGCGTTTTATTGTGCCCCAATACACTAGCATCATCAATGTTTTACAAGCAAAAGCTTCAGGTCCATAATTTTACAATATACAACCTGGGTGATAAGTCAGTTACATTATATGTGTGGCATGAAGCCAATGGAGGAGTAACTGCAAATGAATTCATATCATGTATTGTGGATTTTATAATGAATTTAAATCAAAATGCAGAACGAGTTACCCTTATATCTGATGGGTGTAACTATCAAAACCGAAATAAAAGCTTAGCCAGTGCTTTAAGATTGTTGTCAAAAGAAAAAAATGTTGATATTGAGCAATTATTTTTGTGTAAAGGTCACACGATGATGGAGGTAGATAGCGCATTCAACTTTGGAACATTATTTTAAGCCTCCGCTCTACTCTCCATCGGATTACATCACCAGAATGCGAATGGCTAGACCCAATCAACCATATAATGTTAAAGTGTTAGACTACAGCTTTTTTAAAAATTATGATGCAATGTGTGACATAACTTCATTACGTCCAGGTAAAAAAACTGGAGATAAGGTAGTTACAGATTTGTGTCAATTAAAATACAGTCCATCATCTCAAAATATTCAATATAAAACCAACATAAATGATGACTGGGAAAATCTACCAATAACAACTAAAAATCAAGTAACTGCCAATACAAAAAGTACTAGATCAAAAACAGCTGCCACTACAATTCAAGAAAATGTTCAAATAAAACAATTGTCAGATGTACCTTATTTGTATACAGCTCAATTGCCAATAACAAAGGCAAAATATGATGATTTGCAATCTCTTAAACAGGTATTACAATACAATATTTATCTACATAATTTATTATTAATGCTCATTTTAGTACCTACAATTTAACTAGAAAACACTTTTAGTTTATAAGTTTTATTGATGCACATTAACCATTAAAAATGTATGTTTAAGGTCATAGAGAAAGATCATCACTCATTCTATGACAATTTGAAATATTCAGAATTTGGCAGAAAAACCAAATAATATACTATACTTACTTTAAAAGACTAATAATATATAACACAAGTGATTTGAAATGTATGTTCCTTTTAAGTTTTAACTTTTTATTTTAATTTTGTTATGTGATTTTCAAGAAACAGAAACACAGAAAAAAGTTTGTTATACCTTCTTAATATTCTTATTATTAATTTTTTAGTATAAAATTGTTAACGTTTATATTAATAACAACCTTTGTGCATTATTATTATAAGTTTTAAGTTTTTAACCAAAAAGTATGTAGTGTTATTAACTGTTATTTTTTATTTTATTTTATAATGTGGTTTTTCAAGAAACAGAAAAAGTTTGTTATTTTTATTCTTATTATTACTATTTATAATTAAAAATTGTAATTAATTATAAAATCTATTAAATAACCATGTATTAAATTTTTATTCATAACTATATTGTTAGTTTCCTGTATCTTTATTAGATATTACAGAACATTTAGCAAGGGTCAAATTTGGTCTAATATTTCTATAATTTATAGAATGCTATTAGTTATTGATGCATATTGAGGTAGGTATGTTTCTTTTTAGATATTATAAAGCACAATTTTAAACTATTAGTTAACCTAACTGATAATATTATATTATAGATCTATGTAATTAGATTAATTAAAAGGTTCATTATTATTTTACATTTTTAGCAGTACCTAGTTTATACTTTGTAATTTGTATAGTTGAAATAATATAGACATGAAATCTCTCATGTGTAAAGAAAAAAAATATACAAAAATATTAACCTCCTATGTGTCAACAACAAACCTCCTATGTGGAGTTTCAGAATAAAGAATTATCATCAAAACCTCCTATGTGCAAAAATCTTAACTATATGCTTAATATCCCTTTTGGATAAAACAATAAAATAATAATAAGAGTCCGATTTCATTTCTAAACATATTTTACACAATATAACTATTTTTTGAAATTTTTATATTCAATACTTATTTTTTAAACTACTAAAACGTTTCTCCTGAAAAACTTGGTTTTTTTACATAGGAGGTTTTTCACGCCAGGCGACGTTATGTCAAAAAATTATTATATTTATATTATTATAACTCTTCAATATTTTTATTTCTAGGCATTGATGGACCAAAAGGTGATATTGGAGTTGATGGACAAAATGGTGCACCAGGAGCTCCTGGTAAAAATATTTATAAATATATTTTCTCATATCACTATGACATAAAATTTAAAAAAATATGAATTACCTCCCTATGTTGTTTAGCAATAACTCAGATCTATTCTGTGTGTGTAACGAGTCACTTTGAGATTAAACTGTTTATCATTTTTTCATTTATTGTTATACAACTGATTACTACTGTTTAATTCATACAAAATATTACAGGATTTGCTGGTTTAAATGGAATACGAGGAACTAAAGGAAAGATGGGTGCACCTGGATTACCAGGTAAAATGAATTTCAACCATACCTAGTTCTAAATAATTTGTATCTAATACTTTGTCGGGGACGGACTGGCCGAGTGGATTATGGCGTCGGTTCTAATACTGGCCACAGGCGGCATCGCTCTCTTTGCAGGCAACTGTTTAGACAGCGAGACCGCCATCTCCTAAGTGGGCAGGCATTGCAGAAACCTATGGGTGCCCAATTAGAAATTCTGCAATATAGGCGTCCAAACTAGGCCTACTCCCGGACATAACACATACGCAAAAAAAAAAAAAAATTCTTTGTTACCTATTATATTTTAGATATCTTTAGGTCACAATAATATTATATTTATTTGATTTTGGATTATTTATATGTATAGGTTATAAAGGATCATCTGGAAGACCTGGCTCAAGAGGTTTGTATTGTATCACAGATCATAATCAATACGCAAAATAAATTTTTTATTTTAGAGAATTTTATTAAATTAAAGTTTTTTGTTAGGACTGGCTGGATACCCTGGAATGCCAGGAGAGAGAGGAACACTTATTTTTGATGATTTTAAACAAATATTAATATCTGGTGAAAAAGGTCCAAAGGGGTTCCCTGGAAGAGAAGGCGATATGGGTTCAATAGGGTACTTATATGCATTTTTATTAAATTAACTATGCCATAAAATAACATTAATAATAATATGAAATGTATATCAATATAGCAGCGTTTCTTAAACTTTTTTATCTGTGGAACCCTTTTTTATGTCCACTTTAATCGTGGAACCCCTACTTTTTTTTTAGCTTTTTAGATTTTTATAGTTAGATTTTAACAATAAGTTATTGCAGTTCCCCTACTTTAGAACCCCTACTTTAGTCATTTTTACTATAGTTTTATGTAAGGATTATTTGCAATAAAAATTATAGTGATTTTATGTAATAATAATGTGTATTTAATTCAAAACATATTTTTAATAACAGACAAATTATATTTCTAAGTTTTAATTTAAATGAGAGTTTTGCGGAACCCTAAAGTAATCTCCGTTGAACCCCAAGGTTCCGTTTAACACAGTTTATGAAACACTGCTATATAGATTTGAATCAGGTTTATTTATAATACCCTAATATTTTAATATCATTTAATTAATTATTAATATTTTACAGACAACCTGGATTACCTGGATTACCTGGCCGTATGGGTAGAAGAGGAATGAAGGTAAGTCAACATTTTGCATACTTCATGAAAAAAAAAAAATAATAAAAACTAATATACTGATATGAAAATTATTCATATACTTCAATATTGATTACGCATAAATAGGGACATTATGGAGATTTAGGATTACCAGGTACCGATGGACGTCCTGGGGAACATGGTAGGGCTGGATTTAAAGGAGACCCCGCTGATGAATTAAATCCTGAATACTTAAAAGGAAACGAAGGGTATGTTATACATAAAAAAAAAAATCATTATTACAAATAAATAATAATTAAAAATATATCGTATATTAAGCATTATGATATCATAAATTTTTAATTTTACTCAAAAATCTACAATGATTAATATGTCACAGGTATCCTGGTATTACTGGTACTAAAGGTGAACAAGGTAACGCAGGTGCAGTTGGTGAACCTGGTGATAGCAGTCAATATACCGCTACTAATATAGGAGAAAGAGGCATTAAAGGCATACCGGGTGAAAAAGGTGTGATATATTACAATATGATGTAACATTTTATAACTACAATTCAAATTTCTATTTTAAGGTCAACATGGATTTAAAGGACAAAAGGGAGTAGAAGGAGACCAAGGTATTAAAATCATATAACACTATAAAATAAATTATTTAATATTAATATTTTTATTTTTCAAGGTTTTGTTGGATTTTCTGGCGCGGCTGGTCCTCCTGGTATAGTTACTGATGGTCCTCCAGGGTTAAAAGGTATTAAAATGAATTTTAAACAGCTGTACCAGTTTTACTCCAAGCGAGCTGTAGTTTTATTTTTGTATAATTATTGTTTTACTTAATTCTCAAATACTCTAATAGCTTACAACAAAACTGTATTAGTACATAGTATTTCATACTTAAATAACTCTATTAAAATTCAATGGCCCCAGAAAGATTAGCTACTCCACGTCTACTAGGTACTGGTAACAAATTAAAATATAATAAGATTATCAACTTACTAAGATTATAAATAAATATGTCAAACATAAATTATAACACTCATAAATATAATAAATTTATGTCAAAGAAATTTAAGCCTTAACAAATAGGTATGACAAAAAAAAACAAACAAATAATTGATAAGAAAATAATTGTTTAATGTTTAAATACTCCTATATTTCGATCATCAATTTTGTCTAGTTCATTTGCTATTTGAATTTTAACCTTAACCATATTATGGCTGTATTGTAATTGGTAGTTTACATAGATTTATATAATATTTTGGTGTGCTTATATTACACTTACCATTTTTTAAAGAAACTATTTTGCCTTCTTTACCTTAAAATTGCATTACACCATAATTTCACAGAACTATTTTTCTATTGTTTACAGTTTTGAAATCGGCATAATTCTAAATTTTTTATAAGTACCATAATATTGCTTCGCTTATTCCTAGTTGATCAAAAATCATTGAGAATAATAACTATGTACTTTAATGAGTGTGTTTTTTTTATTGTTTCACTAAGAATTCTATGCCAACCCTAGTTATCCTCTAAAATTCCATATTCTCACCATGCACAATGACATATTCTAAATATTTTAAAATTTGTTAAGGACTTTTCATAAAAATTCAAATATTTTATCTAAAAACTTTGCAATTTGTAGGATATCCTGGTGCTATGGGCGATCAAGGATTAAAAGGAGAAAAAGGACTTCCAGGAAAAACCGGTCCTGTTGGATTACCAGTATGATTAATATACATATTTATACTGCTTTCAATATTTAATCGATTAAATCTAATTGATTGGTTGGATTAGAAAAAAATCATAAATATAGTTGTTACCTATTGATAAACTTATAGGGTCCACCAACTCAAAAAGGAGATCGCGGAGAGCCAGGTCAGAGCATATTGGTTGGGGAAATTGGAGATAATGGTATTAAAGGAGAAAAAGGTGAACCTGGAGAAGAAGGGTATGAAATATAAATATTACAAATATATGTAAATTTTTAGAAAAATTGGTAAACTCAGTAAAATATCTTTTGACACCCCCAAAAATATGTTCTTGGTGTACAATTTAATGAAAATATTAAAATTATAATTCAATTAATGTGTATCACATTCTAAATCATAATTTTAAAAATCCAATATTATAATCTACCTACATCTATTTTATTTTGTTTAAAAAAAAAATTTTAATTTGTACAAATACTTTGACACTATAAATTATAAAATTGTTAATCTTATTTTTTTTTTAAGTTAATGACTACTTATACTTTTTAAATTATTTACAGAATTGGTGGCAATAGAGGTTATCCTGGTTTAGATGCAGAATTTGGTCCGAAGGGTCAAAAAGGCAGTCCTGGTATTATAGGCCTAGCTGGAAGACCGGTAATTCAGATGTCCATAATATTATAGGATTCATAATAAAAGTTTAATATTA